TCGGACACAATATTATCGGGCCATTATTTCTTACGCGAAATTTAAATGCAGAATATTATTTGGAACTACTCGAAAATCATATTTTACCTGCTTTACATGATGCCGCTAGGGAAAATCAGGAAGTTTGGTACCAAATGGATGGCTGCCCGGCACCTAGTAGCCTGGCTGTTCGGGAATATTTAGACAATAGTTTTAACGGAAACGTTATTGGCCTAAATCATACAGTAAATTGGCCAGCAAGGTCTCCCGATATTTCGCCAAATGATTTCTTTCTCTGGGGCCATTTAAAAACAGGATTTACAAGGATAAATAATACCCAAATCTAGCCGAGTTAAAAAATGCTATTTCTGCCGAATGCAATAGAATTTCAGTTTACCAACTAGCGAAGGTAAGAAAAGAATTTTATGATCGCCTGGGTTATTGTCGAGCAGTCGATGGAGGAAAATTTGAACATCTTCTTAAATCCTAAAGTTCTAACAATTTAATAGTACCTAAATTAATAAGTTATTGAATATTGTAATAATACTATAATTAACCTTGTAATTGATTACTTTATTTTACTTTAATTCATATTAATTTGTATTTATAAATACATCTTTAAGATTTCCGATGCAGGAATGAGTTTTCAATTGTAATAAAGCACTAAATAGGTAAATTTCTGAAATGACAACTTTATTTGACAGTTATCTTTTACCTTGACTGGTGCTCATAAGTAAATACAGGGCCATAAGAAAGGAGAAATATTTAAAAAGAAATCGGCGATAACTCGTAAACGAGCTAATCAAAAATATCGAAAGTTATTCTTTTGAATGTGGGTTGTAGTGCTTTTCAATAAACTTAAATAGAATTATTCTCTAAAATAATTAGGGAAGTCAATAATTGACCCCATTAAAATTTACGTGGGATTTACTATGTCCCGTCCGACGATGCAACACCCGGTAGACATAATTCATACAATACCTTACCCTTAAATTATAAAAACACTAATCACCCACGCATTGAAACTCCCACCTGAACAAAAAAATGCTTAGATTAAAATGTTCTTCGTCTTTCCTCTAACGACGTTTTCAATCGATTACTTAATACGCATCAGGTTTACAAGAAGTCACGTGATGTGGCGTCATTTTTTACTAAATATATTATGGTAAATTTACACAAGTTTGGTAAATATGTCTAGAGGCATGCAATTTTACTACAACAAAACTTATTGTGAATTTAACATCGTTTAGTAATAATCATTAAACATCAATAAACGTTTTGCAAAATAATTTTTTTCATCTAATCTAGCCTCACAATATGTTTAACTGATTCAAATAATCAACAATCTGTACACGCAGAATATTCCGTCTTTCCTCCAACTTATCGTCACCTTCAAATCACCAAAATTTAAACCCCAACCAGGAAAACGACTAGAAAATACAGCTGGACTGGAACGTACCCTTCGTCACCCTCAGGAAATTGTGTCCAACGTCCCTGGTCAACTTCCGCTTCCTCTCCTTGCAGTGACAAGGTCGAGAAGGGACAGGGGAGGCTGTCCCGACTTGATTCATTGCTCTTATCTCGACCTGGAGTAAATGAGTTCTTCGGGGAGCTGGAACGACCCCCCCGGGGACCTGTCCAAACGTCCTAGATTACTTTCGTCGGGACAGTGGAACGGTGCGGGTCCCTATGTGTCCCTTTTCTTGGCCTGGCTGCTTCCCGTATGTGTCTGAATAATAATGTGGCAAGCTGGATGGATTGGTTTCAAGGAAACGATGTTTTCTATCTGATAATGCTGGAAAAGCACGATATCACAGCTTGATAATTTTATAATATGAGGCGTTCAGAGGTGAACTGGATCAAGTCCGTGAAATTAACTATGAAGGAAATATGAGTTAAAGTTTTTTAATGTTACTTAATTAACATAAAAAAGCTGGAGACAAAAAATTGACACAATGCTTCATTATATTTTAAATTGTATAACTGCAAACTAAAGTAACTCAAAATACAACGGTGGTCACTTTTAAGAATGTTTTTTTATACTTTTTTGGACTTGAATCATTTTATCTCTGAAAATATTTGAAATTTTAGATATAAGTTGGTTCATCGGTACATTCTTCTTCGTCATTAAGAGAGTCAGTTCATAATCATCTGCTGATGATGCTAACATGGTTAGCGAAACGCGCGTCCAGTGTAAAAGTAAAAGTGTTTTGGTGTATTGTGGTGATTTAGTGTTTTTATTTTGCTGTTTAACACCAAAGGTTCCAACCCTCAACTGTAATTAAGGGATTTGTCGTCTTCACATTGTCTATTAATAGTGTTTTCTTCGATTTTTATAAAAAAATATATCTAGTATATAGGCGGGATAAAGGGAAGAAGATCTTTTATGTCTTGCTTTTTAGAGTGTGTAACGTTACGTCTACCTATATAAAATCATAAGGATTTTCTTCCTCCCCCCCCAGTGCAGACTGTAACGCTGAAATTATACAGGGTTTCTCACCGTAGCCGTTCGTTAGAAGTTTTTGAGGTTAGGAAAAACTTAGAAGTTTGAAATTTTGAGACTTAGGGTTATTTAAAATTTCCTTTCATTTAAAAATATTTTCAAGGTCATACCACTTCCGGTTACACCGGAAGTCGCCATTAACTTCCTTATTTCAAACGGAACACCCTGTATATTATTTAATTGTTGGATTTCCCAGAAAATTTTATGATGAGTTTCATTAAATTTCCCTATACCTATTTTCAACTGTTTCTCAGATATCTTGATTTATTTGAAAATTTTTACATTTTTACCCCTATTTTTAACGGTGGGTCTTTTACTCATTTTGAATTGGCGATAAACGCTTCTGCGGTAAACTGGAGCAGAGGACTAATACTTTCGAAGTTCATATTGATAACTAATTTATCTCATACAGGGTGTCCAAAATTCGATAACTGATTAGATTATTTTCAAACTCAAAAAAGTTCATTTTTTCAAATGAGACACCCTATATCTTTTTCGATAGTTGGATGCAGAATTCAATTCTGCATCGATTTGCTATAACTTTCCCTATACCCATTTTCAACGGTTTTCTTTTTAATCCGTATATTTTACTTTAACTCAATTTTTGGCAGAATCGACAATATCGTTTGTGTTTTTTAAAATAAAATAATTATGTTAAAGTAATGAAATTGAATGTAATTAGAACATATGAACAAAACAGGAACAAAACGAAAGTGAAAACGTATAAAATATAACATAACATAACAAAACAAACGTATAACAGTAACGGTGAGGCATTAATTTTTAACACTAGACGTTAGTGTATCGCTACCATAATAAAAAAAGTAAACACAATAATTACAAAAATTATTGTTCGAAGTGACCGCTATGAACGAAAATTTTTGTAATTATTGAGTTAGCTTTTTTTATTATAGTAGGGATACACTAACGTCTAGTATTAATAATTAATGCCTCACCGTTACTGTTGAAAATACATTTGTTTTTTATGTTATGTTATATTTTATATGTTTTCACTTTTGTTTTGTTCCTGTTTTGTTCATATGTTCTAATTACATTCAATTTCTTTACTTTAACATAATTATTTTCTTTTAAAAAACACAAACGATATTGTCGATTCTGCCAAAAATTGAATTAAAGTAAAAAATACGGATTAACAAGAAAACCGCTGAAAATGAGTATAGGGAAAGTTATAGCAAATAGATGCAGAATTGAATTCTGCATCCAACTATCGAAAAATATACAGGGTGTCTCATTTGAAAAAATGAACTATTTTGAGTTCTAATAATCTAATCAGTTATCAAATTTTGGACACCCTGTTAGCAATAAATTAATTGTCAATATGGATTTCGAAAGTATTAGTCCTCTGCTTCGGTTTACCGCAGAAGCGTTTATCACCGATTCAAAATGAGTAAAAGGCCGACTGTTAAAAATAGGGGTAAATCTGTAAACATTCTCAAATAAATCAAGATATCTGATAAACAGTTGAAAATGGGTATAGGGAAACCTAATGAAACTCTAAAATAACCTAATGAAACCTAATGAAACTCTAAAATATTTTTTTTTTAGAAGTTTTTCCTAACCTCAAAAACTTCTAACGAACGGCTACGGTGAGAAACCCTGTATAGGTAGATGCAATATATTCTTTTTTAACGACGGTTCTCCATAAACGTCTAATCTACCCTCGTCATAAATCACCCACCCTGTGTATTGTTTATTATATGAACTATTTTCTGTATTATATCAAACAGTAGTTTTAGGAACATTTTTAAAGACCTGGAACCATCCATTAGTCGACTTTGCTCATTCCTAACCAATTTAATTTCCTTTTCCTATTTCGAAATTGGTTTTTACGTCTTCGCCGCTATCCAGGACTCCACCGAGCGCGCTTCTGGAACGATCCAGATCCATCTTCCATCGGTATTCGATTGTAAATCTCCCCCCTCGTCCTATTCTCTGGAAATATCCGATATAATTAAGTTTCCGGTTGGCCGACTTCCGCCATTTTAAAACGACCGGAACTTGTCTGGAAAGCGTTGCCTCGTTTTATTTTGCACGGGGATCTGGATGCGCCCATGTAATTCCGGGGACGGTAATTCCTTGTCGAATTGTTTGCTAGATTTAACGCTGTTCCTAGGTTTTCCAGAGTTTTCTTGTGGATTATTTTAATTGGAAAGTTCCAGTTTAAAACGATATTTTAATTTAAAGTAAAAGTAAAGTCAGGTATTCTCGCCCAAGTAGCATTTTTAGACACAAAATCGAAACAAAATTTCTGCTGAAAAACATTACGAAACATTTTCGTCACATTTTTGATACATATGTTTCGTTTGGTTTGTACATAAATCGTTTTTTGTGAAATATCCTGGATGGATAGAGTGACAAATTAGATGAACAAGAAATGGGGGACACCTGTTTGGGATTAACTGTCATAATTTTTGTTCCGCAGACATCAAGAAATTAAACAAAATTCATAAATTTAAATTGATATATTTTGGTATAGCTTCAATAATAAATTATTTCCAATACTATTTACATAAATATTCTCTAAAAAATATTTAATGGTAGTAAGAAGGAACAGAGTAGGCTGGACCGGCAACGGTGTAGCTGACTGGAGCAGAGTAAGCTACTGGGGCAGCTACTTTAGCTACAACCGAAGCTGGAGCGGCGTAAGAGTAAGAAGCTGGAGCTGAGTAGACTACTGGAGCAGCTACTTTGGCTACAACTGGTGCTGGAGCAGAGTACACTACTGGAGCAGCTACCTTAGCTGCAACTGGTGCTGGAGCAGAGTACACGACTGGAGCAGCTACTTTAGCTACTACAGGGGCTGGAGTGGCGTATACTACAGGGGCAGCGACTTTGGCAACAACGGCAGGTACTTCTTTACGTACGACAGCGTTGAAACCGTGGTGGGCATCGGCAGAATAGTCTACGATTCTCTTGGTACCGTCAGCATCGACCAAAGAATAGCTACCTTGGACAGCATCGCCACGTCTGGTCTCGTGTTGGGATTTCTGGTCTCCGGTGTGGGGGTCGCTTACGGTGTATCCAAAGTCGTAGTGGGCAGGTGCTTCGGGTTCTGGTACTACGGTTTTAAGTACTGGGGTGGAGTAAGCTACAGGGGAAGCTACAGCTACGGTTTGGGCTGGGATGTAGCCTGCGTTGGCTACGGCTACGAAAGCAGCGATGACTACGAACTGAAAAAAGAGAATAATTATTGTTATTAAAAAATGTTGTGTTTGTTAGAACTAAAATTTTAATATTAAATACAGAAGAGACAGTAATCTTTCAGAAATATTAACACTCTATCCAATGAGCCAAGAAACATCCAAAAAGATTGACAGAAAATACAATTTATCTGTCAATTAACTGATGACAACTGTCACTAACGTGCGTCCTCTTGGACAGACTTTAGGACGTCTTTTTTACTACAGTATTGCAGATAAGCTCGGCATTATATGAGATTTTATATATACAAGGTGCATCCCAAAAGTGGCTCGTCCCTATAACTTTTTTATTTTTCAGATAAAAAACGTTATTAGGAATGTTAGTATATGACATAAATTATAGAATTAATTGACGTATTCAATTGTTTTTGGTCACTTCCTGTTTCACCGGAAATGACTACAACTTTTGATTTTTAAATGGCACTCTTGGTATATTTCTACTTTTGACATTTTTGCTTAAAAACCCCTATTTTAAATTTAAAGCTAGAGTGCCATAACTATATTAAAAACACTAATTTTTAATCAAGGAGGCTTGGAAATATAGATTTGGTCGTCTAATGTTTTTAGTGTCTTGTCCTGGCTGGTTAAAATATGCTCAAATCGTATTTTTAATCATATCTCAATTTTTTCAAATAGAATGAGGGTAACTCATTAACACATTTGGAAAAAGCATTTTTTTACGAATAATTTGATACCACATACTTGGTATTTCGAGTCAAATTTTCGTTATGAACCGCATGTTACAATTTCAAATAAACCATATACGAAAATGTCAAAAATTAACTTATGATAGGTAATTCTATTCAGAGTGTCATTTTCTATCGAATGAAGCAAAAAAATACCGAGGATGTCATTTAAAAATCAAAAGTTGTAGTCATTTCCGGTGAAACAGGAAGTGACCGAAAACAAATTAATAAGTCAATTAATCCTAATTTATGTCATATACTAACATACCAAATCTCGTTTTTTTATCTGAAAAAATAAAAAAGTTAGAGGGGGGAGCCACTTTTGAGACACACCCGGTATATGTATGGATTAATAATTAATAAATTAAATATAATTAGTTGCACCATTATTATCCTATTATTTATTAACAATAACTAATATTAACCATTATTTATTAATCAATCATAACAATAAATAATATTAATCTTCATTTACTGATTATCCGCACAATTATTAACAATAAATAATAATATTTTCTCCGGTAATAACTAAAGAAAATTAACTATAGTCATTCTTAGACAATATAACAGAAATAGTCCTGAGAAGAACGCCAAAAAATGCTATTTAAAAAAAGATTTTCCGACCCTGATCTCTGGATATCAAGATTTTCAATAAAATAATTTTATTATACGTATACGTTTATTTAAGTAAAAATCGTCAAATCACATCTGTCTGTTCTTAGATCGTAACAAAAATAAAACCCTATCCTTTAGTTGTCAAATCGGCCCACAGCACTCTACCAAATAACAACAATAATTTCACCAGTTGTGAACAAAAACCCGGGCGAAAGTCGCGCGCAAAAATTTTTCGATGTTTCATCTCGCTATTTTTCCGGAAATATTTGTGCTCCAGTGATTGTTTTTACACTAAAATCCTCCCAGGTGTCTGTTATGTCTTTTAAAGGGGTAAGTTTTTCGAAATCTTTATTTATTTACGTTATTTTTGTCATTATTTGTTGATATTTTTATGGTTAAGGCATGACATTTGTGTCGCCGGCCGGAGACAATAGAATTTCCATGGCACGCGATATGATTTCAGCGCGCTGCGGACCGTCGTCGTCGATCGTATATTTCGATGCTGCGGGAGACAATGATGCCGCTTGTATTAGTCGTTTTGAGCTAAACCGTTCCGATTTTTTTTCTATCGGCGTGAGATGTTTTCGATATAACTACGAAAATACTGAAAATCTAGATATTTTGCGTTACTTTAACGTTGATTTACTTTATATTTTGCATTGTAGGGGTCATATCGTATGGAATTATACAGAAAAATGCGATATACCGGATGTTTCAAGTTCGTTTAAGTTTAGTAATTCCGTTTAAATTTAGTAAAACTGAAATTTTATTATTTTATTTATCTCGGGAAATGACAAAAAATTTATTTAAATATTTAACTAAATCCATAGCTTTTTTAGCGAAATTTTAGTGTTTCGGTATTAATTAAAAAAATCGAAAAAAAAGTTACTTACGCATTTTTAGCACATTTTAGATTATAATGTCAATTTAAGTTTTGAATCGTGTATTAACTGTTTATATGAACAATGTTAGAAGTATTATTTTTAGTTAAAAATTTTCTTATTGAGTGTTCTATAAGCTGTAAAAGTTTCCTTACCCTGAATGCCATGTTTAACAGTATTGATTAACCTGAATCAACTGATACCAAATTAAAAAATCATTTAGTTTATATACTAAAATATATCGAACTTGTGGGCGTGGTTTCTTTCGATTTTTATTGAGATAATACTGAGCAAAAATTCGCAATCCTTGAGCATTTACGTAGACATGTGCGTATGGTGGTACATTCAGAAATATTTCAAGGAAGTTTAAAATTTTAGCGATTACTTTCAAAATATTATCTACCTGGTATGTTAATTAGTATTTAGTATTTAGCAATTATATTTTTTTTTTGTACTTACTCCCAATGAAACTAATATATTACAGATTTAATCATATGTGTGTATACCTTACATTAATATTTTAATTTTTTATACAGGGTGAGTCTTAAATGAGTGCATATATTTTCAGGACTTTTAGATCTCGATAAAAGAAACATATTTTCTCTTTACCGTTTTTCAAATAACTCCAAAATGACCTAGTTATTTGTTATTTTACTTTGAAAATTTTAAAAATAAATAATTTTTTGGTTAAATTTTGAAAACCACTGGATATTTTCTGGTTTTTTTTTCTTGTAAATTTAATCTGCTTCTTAATATAATCTGCTATCTTATAGTGTTAATTTCTCCACTGTTTTAGAGATTTTTTAGCCACCCAATGTTTGTGACCATTCTGTAAACCTTTTAAAACCGTTTGTGTCCAGGAAGAGTTCATAGTTTCATAGTTGTCGATTTTCGAAAGAAATCAGTACATTTATATTATTTCGTATATTTTTCATTTTATTGATTTTATAGAAAGTACTGTTCATTAAAATGTTGTATCCTATGTTATAAGGCTTGTTTCTCTCTACAATTTCCTGTTTCACAATGTACCGTTTGTGTCCAGGAAGAGTTCATAGATTCATAGTTGTCGATTTTCGAAAGAAATCAGTACATTTATATTATTTCGCATATTTTTCATTTTATTGATTTTATGGAAAGCATTGTTCATTAAAATGTTGTATCCTATGTTATAGGGCTTGTTTCTCTCTACAATTTCCTGTTTCACAATGTACCGTTTGTGTCCAGGAAGAGTTCATAGATTCATAGTTGTCGATTTTCAAAAGAAATCAGTACATTTATATTATTTCGCATATTTTTCATTTTATTGATTTTATGGAAAGCATTGTTCATTAAAATGTTGTATCCTATGTTATAGGGCTTGTTTCTCTCTACAATTTCCTGTTTCACAGTGTACCGTTTGTGTCCGGGAAGAGTTCATAGATTCATAGTTGTCGATTTTCGAAAGAAATCAGTACATTTATATTATTTCGCATATTTTTCATTTTATTGATTTTATGGAAAGCATTGTTCATTAAAATGTTGTATCCTATGTTATAGGGCTTGTTTCTCTCTACAATTTCCTGTTTCACAGTGTACCGTTTGTGTCCGGGAAGAGTTCATAGATTCATAGTTGTCGATTTTCGAAAGAAATCAGTACATTTATATTATTTCGCATATTTTTCATTTTATTGATTTTATGGAAAGCATTGTTCATTAAAATGTTGTATCCTATGTTATAGGGCTTGTTTCTCTCTACAATTTCCTGTTTCACAGTGTACCGTTTGTGTCCGGGAAGAGTTCATAGATTCATAGTTGTCGATTTTCGAAAGAAATCAGTACATTTATATTATTTCGCATATTTTTTATTTTATTGATTTTATGGAAAGCATTGTTCATTAAAATGTTGTATCCTATGTTATAGGGCTTGTTTCTCTCTACAATTTCCTGTTTCACAGTGTACCGTTTGTGTCCGGGAAGAGTTCATAGATTCATAGTTGTCGATTTTCGAAAGAAATCAGTACATTTATATTATTTCGTATATTTTTCATTTTATTGATTTTATGGAAAGCACTGTTCATTAGAGATTTATATATAGAGATTTTTTTTAATAAAAAAAATATATTATATTGAATATTAAATTATTTAAAAGTCCAATAAACTCCACAAAAATCAACTGTCTTGAACTAATTCAACTGTATTATATGCAAAATATATTGTTTGATGCTCTATCCTTTTTGAATTCTCTGGTTTTGATTAAACTATATATAATCGCTGTTGATTGATATCGATATATCAACAAGTAGATTTACATTAATCACACGCAAGCTGATTAATATTGCTCATTAACTATTTGGTAAGGTATTTAATTGATTCATTTAAAGTTTTCTATTAATTATTGTATTACAGCGGACTGATAATATAACCATGATTGACTTCGAGAATTTTGATTATTATTAGCATACATTTTTAGTTTCAGAAAATTAAACATTAATTTATTATTGAATGCTATTCAGTATTATTAATATGTTTTAGTCTTATTAGTAAAATTAATTCACAATTACATATTTTTTTTGCATATAGTGCTGAACATTTTTTGACATTTTCCAGAAAATTAAAAAAAAATACATTTAAAGAGGTGTTAATCACCGCGACCTTACAGATCTATTGTATGTCCCCCTTTATTGAGTTGTAACGAGTTATAACTCATCATACAATCTCAGGGCTTTGATAAAATTATCCTCTATAGTAGAGTGGTAGCTGCTCTAGCTTCTAGTTATTCTAGCTACTGTAACAGCTACCACTTGTAGATTACTTACTAGGGTGTAGAGGTTCGATAAAAAGGGATTTTTCGAAATTCCAGTTCCAAGAGGGTGAAACCACCCCTCAAATATTACAATATTTTTTATTTAAAAAACGGTCAAGTTTCCAAAAAAAATGTTTTTTTACATATTTTAAGATTTTTTAAAAATGTATACAGGGTGTTTCGAAAAATCTGGTCATTGATTAATCACGATCCTGCTTAAAGCGCTTGACGTAAAAAGCTGATTTTTGGAAAACAGATTGACTTTAGGGTGTAGAGGTTCGATAAGAAGGGATTTTTCGAAACTCGAATTCTAAGGGGGTGAAACTAATCCCTCAAATATTACAATATTTTTTATTTAAAAACCGGTGAGCTTTTCGGAAAAACTCTTAAACATGTATATTTTATTTTGTTGTTTTACATATTTTAAGATTTTTTATAAATTTATACAGGGTGTTTCATAAAATATGACCATTGAGTAATCACGATTCTGCTTAAACTGCTTGACGTTTAAAGCTGATTTTTGGTAAACGGATTGACTGTGGGGTGTAGAGGTTGGATAAGGAGGGGTTTCTCGAATCTCAAATTCCAAGAGGGTGAAAACGCCCCTCAAATATTACAATATTTGTTATTTAAAAAACGGTTAGTCTTTCGGGAAAACGCTTGGACAAGTATAATTTATTTATTCTGATATTTAAAATTTCTAAATATATTTCCTTTTTCTGCATATGACTTTATAAAATTTAGTCAATTATTTTTAATAATTTCACTACTAGGTATTATTAATTAATTATTTTTTTTAATCAGTTAGTGATAACTAATTGTACAGCTTCTTATTGTTTAGGATATCTTTTAGATATTTGATAACTACATACTAGATAAAACAATAACTCAACTCTCTATACAAATTTATACAGGGTGTTTCAAAAAACACGTGCCATCGTTCGTGGGGAGATTCCTCACGTAAAAATAAGTTTTATTTTTCGTATCAACATAGGTCCGATTCTGCCTCGTTTCGGAACTACAGGGTGTTAAAGTCTTAAAATTTACTTAAATTACTTTAACTACTACTGGAGTATGGAGAACATATAGTTCTGAAGCAGCTACTGCTGTTAAATTATTTATCTAAATTTTAAGTATATTTAACATCATTGTGTTTAATGAATAATACCTTCAAAATAAAACAGCAAATTAATTTTTATAATTTCATATATTTATGGCTTTCAAGAATAAATTATGCTACATCTATGTACAAGATCATCAGTTCGAGCCTTTTAGTGGTGGTAGTAAGCTGGGGCGGAGTAGGCCAAAGGAGACGAGTAAGCTACCTTAGCTACGACTGGAGCGTGAGCAGCGTAAGCTGGAGCGGAGTAAGCTACTGGAGCTGAGTAAGCCAAAGGAGCGGCTACTTTAGCTACGACTGGAGCGTGGGCAGCGTAGGCTACTGGGGCTGGAGCAGAGTAAGCTACGGGAGCGGAGTAGGCTACTGGGGCAGCTACTTTAGCTACAACTGGAGCTGGGGCGGCAGCGTAAGCTACTGGGGCGGCTACTTTAGCTACGTATGCGGCGGGTTCTTTGTGTACTACGGCGTTGAATCCGTTGTGGGGGTCGGCGGTGTATTCTACGGTTCTCTTGGTACCGTCGGCATCGACAAGGGAGTAGCTGCCTTGTACAACGTCACCACGTCTGGTTTCTTGTTGGGATTTCTGGTCTCCGGTGTGGGGGTCGCTCACTGAGTATCCGTAGTCGTAGTGGGCTGGTGCTTCGGCTTCGGCAACGATGGTTTTGGCTACAGGGGCGGCGTATGCTACGGGAGCAGCGTACTGAAGTAAAAAACAAAAATATTTATGAAATAGATCTTAAATGTAACGATTTTTTCTGCTGATTATTCTGAACACTTTGTGTAGTTGTCTTTTGGTGCCAACAAACATTACAATAAATAAATTACAAAAATTAAACAACACACTTATTGTTGTTGTCTCATGATTGATTTCATCAAAATTTTTCAATGTATAATATTTTTAATTTAAATAAATTTAAAAATTAACAACTTCGATTATTGTAAATTATTTTTTTTAAATTTATAATAATATCATGATAAAATATTTACTGAATAGTATGATGTATATTTTTATGTAACATAAGATTACGGTTTAGCAGAATATATAAAAAATGGTTTGTACATTAAAAAAATTGAGGAAATAATACAAAACTACGCGACCTTGCTTTTAGAGTATTAAAATAAACAAGTTTTTTTCTTATTTAGGTAATGTTATAAGCTGAACCAGTTTTGAACTATGGTACCGAATTATTCGTAAAAAAATGCTTTTTCCAAATATGCTAATGAGCCACCCATGTTCTATTTGAAAAAATTGAGATATGATTAAAAATACGATTTGGGCATATATTAACCGGTTAGGACAAAACACGAAAAACATTAGACTATCAAATCTATTTTTCCAAAGCTCCTTGATTAAAAATTAGTGTTTTTAGCACAGCCATGGCACACTAGAAAAAACTCTTGAAATTTATTAATCGAGAAAAATATATTAATCAACAAAAAAACTTCAGTGAAATTTGGATTCTTGAAAAATTAATAAAAATTAAATAAAATTAATAAGTTAATAAAAATTAAATAAAATTTATAAATTAATAAAGTAAAAATATGTATTTTTTTCTTGAAAAGTATATTTATATATTGACATACAGCCGAAGCACAAAAAATCATTTTTACTGCGAATAGAACAAATATGCTATTTTTTTTCAAACGCCACAAAATTTTTTTTAAACAATTTCAAACATTCCAAATAAAATAAAATGATTTAAAAATCATACCTTGTATGTAATTATATATCGAGAAACTATGGTTACGCTCGTTGAATTTGATACTTTAATGTCAATTTAATAATATATTTTTTCGTAATTTTATGCTTAGGCGTAAAAGTGCTTTACTTTTATGCCTAGTAGTTAAAATGACTTTTTTATATTGTCAATCACGTCGCAAAAATTAATACTTTTGTGACGTTTGAAAACAAAATACATTTTTTTGCTTTAACAGTTTCAATAGATGTCTGTACTAAAAAAACTACTACTAGTGTTCTCGTAGTATTCGTAGACATAGTGTATTTACCTTAGCTACGGGGGCGGCATAGGCCACAGCTGGGGCGGCAGCGTAAGCCAAAGGGGCGGCGGCATAGCCAATGTTGCCAGCGCGGGCAACAGCGACGAAGGCGGCGAAAGCTACGAACTAAAATAATAAAAAAAAACAATTAAAATATATTTCTTTTTCCATAAATTTAATTAATAATTGTTATTAATTATATACGGTGTGTGTTCAAAAACCATAATTAAATATAACAATAATAATATAAAAATATTTCAATTCTTAGTTTTATAACAATTTAAAAAAGTATAAACAAGATTTACCATTTTAAAATAATCATTTTTTTTATAAACAATGCATTTTTCTCATGGATTAGACATACTGTGTAAATTTCCAAAAATATATGAAAAGCTCAGAATATTTTAAAAACAAACAGATTTTCTAAAATAAAAAATAAAATACATTTCTAATAATTATAAAAACAGAAAACGTTAAAAAACAAAAATACAGAAAAATTATTATAAATTTTTCGACAGCTCGAAAAAATTTCGCAAAACTTTGTTCAAAAAAAGATCTCCTACGTACCTTGAAAGCCATCTTAATGCAAGCTAATTGTCGAATTAACTGATACACGGTACCATACCATTTCGGTTTATATACCGATGGTACCAGATCTCTGCCAGACGTGTACGAGATTAAGAAAAAGGGTGTGGTCGTCTCTCAGACTCATGGTCCACCACATTTTACAATATAGCAGCCTGTAAGTTCCCCTTTCACCCAAAAACCACACTGAAAAGCTGATCTTGATTGATGGTCAGCGCGTGGGCAAGGTCGCCGTTTAAATTTTTAAAATTGTGCTCTTGTTTCGCGGTAATTATGTAAAAAGAGGTTTTGCACAATAATTTTCGTTTTATATGCCTCAATTTGCGGGTTCCTTATTCTTTAATTGATCTTGAACACAGCGGCGGCTGGGAGAATTATATGTAACATACGATCCAAAAAAAAACGGTGTCATAGACGGCTGGGGAATGGCAGTCGATGATAATTTTGGCGAGTTCAAGCGCAAGGCATCATTACTTGGCCTGTATTCTTTATTTTTATATCGGGTAAAAATGATTTTTAAATTGTGTAGTTTAAAATTCCAGAAAAAATATTTTTTTAGAAAAATCCCCAGTCACATAAAGTAAGTTTGATTGATAAGCACAATTATACCACTTTTAAAGTTAGTTTTTATTAAATTCTGTGATTATTAGTTTGTGCATCTGCTATAACTGCGCTGTTTTTGGAAACATGTGTGAATTTAAAGTAACAAAAAGTACAATTATTTTACATTAAAATTGTAAATTTAACATAGAAATAAACAAATTTTCTTCAACTATTAGAAAGAATGAATAGTATTTCAAAAAATATTATGAATCTATAATTCCATTAATCTTAAACCATTGAAAACAATCATATTATGCAAATCAGACAACAACTTTTTTCAATAGTTACAAACATCCGGTTTAAACAATTCCGGAAGTACTACGCGTACTACGTCGAGTACTTCGTCGTATAATTATTAACAAAAATATGGGCGTGGTACCATATGGGTACCTTTCACCCATATACCGGTAGTCCAAGTCGGATTCTGCAGCGATGACCTTGACAAGGTTGCCCGAATTTCGTTGACAGCCCGATGGTCAATTTGTAATTGAACAAATACGAACGAACGAATATACCAGGGTAATTCAAAAAAATAAAAAAATAGAGTAATTATTTTTTAGTAGTCAATTTCACTTTTCTTTAACATTTAAAAATACTAATAAATATACAGAATACAGAATACAGAATACAGAATACAGAATACAGAATACAGAATACAGAATACAGAATACAGAATACAGAATACAGAATACAGAATACAGAATACAGAATACAGAATACAGAATACAGAATACAGAATACAGAATACAGAATACAGAATACAGAATACAGAATACAGAATACAGAATACAGAATACAGAATACAGAATACAGAATACAGAATACAGAATACAGAATACAGAATACAGAATACAGAATACAGAATACAGAATACAGAATACAGAATACAGAATACAGAATACAGAATACAGAATACAGAATACAGAATACAGAATACAGAATACAGAATGCAGAATGCAGAATGCAGAATGCAGAATGCAGAATGCAGAATGCAGAATGCAGAATGCAGAATGCAGAATGCAGAATGCAGAATGCAGAATGCAGAATGCAGAATGCAGAATGCAGAATGCAGAATGCAGAATGCAGAATGCAGAATGCAGAATGCAGAATGCAGAATGCAGAATGCAGAATGCAGAATGCAGAATGCAGAATGCAGAATGCAGAATGCAGAATGCAGAATGCAGAATGCAGAATGCAGAATGCAGAATGCAGAATGCAGAATACAGAATACAGAATACAGAATACAGAATACAGAATACAGAATACAGAATACAGAATACAGAATACAGAATACAGAATACAGAATACAGAATACAGAATACAGAATACAGAATACAGAATACAGAATACAGAATACAGAATACAGAATACAAAAACATTTAAAGCGCTGTGTTCTTGAGTTATAACTCATCATACTGTCACAGGAATACTCACATAGCGAAGGCAACATAGAAGGCTTCACCTACCTAAAGAACTTTAGGTAGGTGAAGAAGGATGTGTGGAAAAAACTGGGGACTTAACCCTAACAGGGCATTGTAAGCTAAATAGGCATCTAAAGCTGATGGGATTGACAGACGAAGCTATGTGTAGGTTCTGCCAATCTGAAGAAGAAACGTCAGAACACATTTTATGTCGGTGTGACAGCCTGGCAAATGTGCGGCTCCCGGTAATAGGCAATGATAGGCCATTGCCAAGGAGCTACATGGAGGCTTCAGTCTCCAAGTTGCTAAACTTTGTCGGTTAGGAAGATTTGTTTTGCTAGTAAAGAGCCACTGGTGGTCTTATGTCAATGTATCTAGTCCTAACTGAAAGTCTATAGTCCTCGCCGAGGCTAAGCCAAAAAACTCTACTCAAGCAAAAAAATGTCAATGTGCCTAGTCCTAAAAATAAGACCATTTTTTTTCGAAAATTATTTTATTTGGGCTTCCAAGATATCTTTACTTATTTTTAAGCGCTCATTTTTTAAGACACCCTCGTATAATTGTAATCAATTAGATCGCCGACCACAATGGGATTATATAACAAGTAATCTTTAAAATTTCGGTTAATTTATTTATGTGGAACATTACGTGACCTACTAAACCGCCTACCCAACAGTAGTAGGTAACAAAGTAACTTAGTAACATAAAAATGCCTAAAAATTTAATTCGCTATATATGCTTTACATTTACGTGACGTAACTTGCAAAATTGAAGACATTTAACCCAGTATAATATCCATACCTATAGGGTATATAAATATACTGCAACCAGTTCTAGTTTTTTTTTATTTAACTTAGTTTTGATTGCTTAAGTGCAATTTTATTAATAGGCAACTTAAGCACTCTCATCCACTTTGATTTTTAATTTACAATATCAAATACAATAACTCTTTGTATAATAACGTAACAATGTTTTAAAAAGTACGTAAAATCTAAACACATCTTTATAGTACCGTATGATCGAAAAAAATCGACGTCCAGTGCGCTTGAAAATGCACGATACATGACATTCTCCAAATAAATTTCAAAGTCATCTCTGACGCCGTTTTATTTTATTTTATGATCGAAAAAAAAACTGCGTCCAGTTGCCTGGGAAATGACGATCGATGACAGCGATCTTCAATTCATAGCCATCGATAAAAAAAACTTAAAACTTTATCATATTTTTTTTGGCACACCCTGTATACAACAAAATATTTTAGGATGTGTATAAACCATGCAACGAAATCTGTATAAAACTTTTTTTCATCATATCTTCGATAGGGACAACGGTATTGGACTTGCTCGCACTATTGGGCCACCCTGTATATTTTACTGTAGCTCTCCAAATTTATTATAGATAAATTTTAGTTATGTTACGACAGATTTACCTGTTATGGACCATACTATTGAAAAAAAACGGTGTCAGTGTAGGCATGGAAATGAAAATATGTAAAATTACATGAAGAATATCATCCATCGTTTTTTCCAGTTCAAATTGACGCGGTTTTTTTCGATCATATGGACGAAGATGTCAGTTTTGCATTAGAGATATAAGCATTTTTTTAATACAAATAATTTATATTTATTTGATTTATGACTATTTATTTAACGTGAGATCAAAATAAATATTTTCAACTGGTTTAATAATCTATACTAATGACTGACATACTGATTAATCATGATCCTGCTCAAACCACTCAACTTAAGAAGCTCAATTTTGGCATACAGTTTAATTCTAGGGTGTAGAGGTTCGATAAGAAGAGATTTTTCGAAATTCCAGTTCCAAGAGGGTGAAACCACCCCTCAAATATTACAATATTTTTTATTTAAAAAACGGTCAAGTTTCCGAAAAAACGCTTAAAACGTATAATTTATTTTGTTTTTTACATATTTTAAGATTTTTTAAAAGTGTATACTGGGTGTTTCGAAAAATCTGGTCATTGATTAATCACGATCCTGCTTAAAGCGCTTGACGTAAAAAGCTAATTTTTGGAAAACAGATTGACTTTAGGGTGTAGAGGTTCGATAAGAAGGGATTTTTCGAAACTCGAATACTAAGGGGGTGAAACTATCCCTCAAATACTTAAATATTTTTTATTTAAAAACCGGTGAGTTTTTCGGAAAAACTCTTAAACACGTATATTTTTCGAAGTCGCGGGTACACGCTAGTTCATATTTATAAAATACTGGGTAAAATACTTTCACAGGTCTATTTTATTTTAAAATAACACAATTTAAACAGCAAATAAATTACTTATTTAGTTCTGCATTTAAATAATAAATCCAGTCAATAGGTTACTAGATACAAAATATATTTCTTATGAGTTACAACCTAAAATTCTAAAAACCAGAAATAAATTTAATACGCTAGCCATAAGAGAGAAAAATAATATATAACATCTTCTATTTAATACAAAATCTTACAAAACAAATATGATAAATTGTTAAATAGTTACTAAATAATCTCATTTAAAACATGTATCATTCCTCTAAACCACTTTCATAACATTGCTTAATAATTTTTCTATTAAACTAAAAAACTTTTAAGACACAATTTAAATGCTATATAGAAAATGTCTTGGAACTTTTAATTGTTTGAAAACCTTTCCCGGAAACCCTTTTAAGCACTTAAATACTTTAAAGGTGCTCGCAGCTTCATAAACCAGGCATAAGTGTTAAAACAGATAAAATTGTTTTATACATTTATTAAATTATTTTCGAAAATATTTTTAGTTGATTTATCGATTTATCCAGAGGATCCTTTGCTTTTGATTTTTATCAACACATCTCTATGACATAGTAGATATTGTTTTTGTAGTGTCACTGTCATTGAAAAGGCATATTATTATTATTTGTTGACAGTTAATGTAGCAGAAATGGTTTTAAGTTTTTTTTTTTTTTTTTTTTTTCACAAGATTGTAGAGATCAAAACTTCTAGGCTTAAAAACCATCTCTATTAGAGTAACAGCCAACAAAATAATAATATTATGCTGTTCTATACAGGGTTGTTCGCCACATACGACACGGAGTAATGTAGCTAAACGATTAGATTTTTACAAATTGTAAGT